TTTATGTGTTAAAATCCGGGCATTGCACATGGATCCTGAAGTTCCTCTCATACTGTGAGATAGTAGGGGATGCTGTAAAAATGTCTAAACATTAGAAGCTCCGAAGTGTTCCAGGGACGTCAGACAATGTGCTTTGCCTTTCTCAGCGCTCTTTCACCTGTGTATCACCAAACTGCTTAAACGCTTTGAAACCTGTTCTAACTCAATGTTTCATCTAGCTGAACTACCATCAATGATGTAAAATAAAAATTGAAGCAGTGCTTTCCCTCACTTTTCTCTAATTTTGCAATTCATTCTTTTCTTTTTGAACTGAATCCAGCACAAGAAGATAATCACCATGCAGAAGTTGGGCTGTGTCTTCTTAATTGGCCACAAGAGGGCTCTTGTGTACCATTTTGAAATTGATTCTTGTTTCACACCAACTTTTGAAAAATCTCCATTTGAGCCCAGCACTATAGCAGCTGAAGTCCTTGCCTTGAATGCGCCGGGATCCAATATGGGCACCGGTTCTAATCCCGGCGGCCCCACTTCCCATCCAGCTCCCTCCGGTAGCCTGGGAATGCAGTCGAGGATGGCCCAAAGCTTTGGGACCCTGCACCCACGTGGGAGACCTGGAAGAGGCTCCTGGCTCCAGATTGGCACAGCTCCAGCCGTTGCACTCACTTGGGGAGTGAATCATCGGATGGAAGATCTTCCTCTCTGTCTCTCCTCTCTGTATATCTGCCCTACCAATTAAAAATAAATAAATCTTTAAAAAAAAATCCCCATTTGTGTCTGTGTGTGTGATCTACGTATGTGTGTACTTTGAACTTCTTATTTCACCCTAAAAAATAAAATAATAAATGAAGCGGGAGGTTACTCCAGTTTGCTAACTTGAAGGTACAGATCTCAGGACCTGTGAGAGCTTTGATCTTTTAAATAGACTCGAGGCATTATGAGTCAGGATTTCACAGGAGACACATTTTACTTGGTGTTGAGGCTCTAGTAGCTTCAGTACATCTGCCTTGAATTTAGATTATTATTGCTTCATTTATATGATGATCAAAACCTTATAAATGAAGACACAATTGGGAAAATCATTAATGTATCAACATTTACTGAGCTGGGTGTTTCTGTTTATGACAGACTCTCAAAAACAACATGTAAGAAGCTTAATCAATTTCAAAGTGGTTTGTTTTTCACAATCTTAGGAACTTTCCTTTTGAATTAAGTTTTAGATTAAGGGAGATTTTCTAATCACTGGATGGTAGAATTGCAGAGGGTGATGAAGATGATCAGTCTTCTCCATCACAAGAAATTCTAGAGTAAATTGGACATTAATCTTTATATATGAGCACAATGTAAAATTACTGAATTATCCTCTCTGGCCATTTCTCATTACATTCAAAGCGTTTGGGAATTCTACTCCAATATGCAAGTTGCTTCAATGATAGCCCTCAAGATACTCCAGCAATATTGTAAGGGCTCCTAATTCATCTCATCTCCACACTGAAGCTCCCGTATTTATCAACTGCCTCTCATAAACTTGGACACAATTTTTACTGTGAGTTTCTATAAGTAAATTGTTTCCCTCTCCTTCTGAACCAGGGCTGGTTACAAGCTTGAACAATTGAATGTGGCAGTGAGATACTGTTTGCCTTTTTTTTTTTTTTAAGATCTACTTATTTTCATTGGAAAGTGAGCTGGATCAAAAATGGGTCAGGCAGGACAGGAGCTGGCTTCCATAATGAAGGCAAGCACTTGTAGGTGGCGAATTAGCCAACTGAGCCATCCACACAAGGTCTTGATACTATGTGTCTTTTTAGGCTCAGTATTAGACATCAGTGGCTTCCACCTTCATATCATGGAACACACTTTCTGGGAACTCAGACTACCAAGGCACTTTGTGATAGCTTGTTGAGCTCCGCCAAAATCAAACACAAACACCAGTGTACCACTCAGCTCTGATTGATAAAGCAGATGAAATTTGTCATTTTAAAAAATCATGAGAAAAAAAATCACCGTGCTTATTTCCAGCAACCAGCTCTGAGAATCTTCAGTCATGCAGGAATGGGTAACTGAGAGGCGCATGTTACAGATGGCCTCAGTGATGAGTTTGGGTCTAAGCAGGCTACACTGACTGTGATAGTAATCTTACATGTATATGTGTGTATATATATATAATATATACATATATTATACATGTATCATATTCTTATTTGTACAGTGCCAGTAAATTTTTCACAATTGTGTTTTCAAAACTTACAGTGTTTGGAATGATTTGTGAGACAAAGGTTACTGCTGCTCATGCTGACTTTAAAAGAAAAAAACCATATTCAGATCTTTTCCTGTAACTCCAAAGTTGCGTCAAATTTAAAACTTTATTAAAAAATCTCCATAATTTGTCTAATGGGTACAGTTCACCACCTCCCTTTCTGAGTATAGACAAAAAACAGTGATGACTCCAATTACTTTATCCCTGCCACCCACACTGGAGACTTGGATGGAGCCCTTGGCCTCTGGCTTTGACCTGGTCCAGTCTGGCTGTTGAGGGCATTTGAGGGTTGAAACAGAGGATGAAAGTGTCCATTTAGTCTTTGCTTTTGTTTGTTATTTTTTCAAGGATTTATTTTATTTCTATATAAAAGGTAAAGTCACAGAGAGAAGGAGAGAGAGAATCTTCCATCCTCTAGTTCTCTCCCCAAATAGATGCAATGGCCAGAGCTGATCTGATCTGAAGCCAGGATTCTGGAGCCTCATCCCGGTCTCCGAATTGGGTACAGGGGTACAAAGAATTGAGCCACTCTCTGTTGGGTTCCCAGGCTGTAAGCAGGGGGCTAGATCGGAAGTAGAGAAGCCAGGAGTTGAACCAGAGCCCATATGGGATGCCACTGCCATAGGTAGAAACTTAGCCCATTGTGCCATAGTACCAGCTGCATTCTCTTTCTCCTTATCTCTATCTCCATCATCTCTATCTTTTCCTCTGCTTTCTAAGCAAATAAATGAACAAAAACTCCCAAATATTACTTACAATTAACTGAGAAGTGGTTGCTCATGAACTTGATCATGGTGGTTGCCATGATGAGGTTACGGGTTGGAGCCTGGAAGGATAAAAACAGAAAATGATGATAAAAACAGTATCTTCCACATGCTGAACACTGACTCAGAGGCTCTAAATTTTTTAAGTATTTTGTGTATGTTAAGTCATTGCTAACACTGACTCAGAGGTCCTAATTTTTGTAAGCATTTTGTGCCTGTTGAGTCACTGCTCTTCAGAATAATCTGGTAAGCAAGCAAGTTTTGTTAGCCCAACTTATAAAATAGTTGACACACCTGAAGCCCAAAGAGCTAGAGTAACTTTCTCAGTGGAGGAGCTGGGGCATGAATCCAGACAGGCTGGCTCCAGGACCGAGGCTCTTAATCTCCAAACTAACAACAAGGAGGTTAAAGAAGAAAAGAGCAGCCTCTCCACTAGGAAGGTTTGGGGAAGCTGGAGACAGTGTTGAGTAAACATCAGGCTTGCCAGGGCTCACATACCTTGGTAAAAATGCCTCCCCACCCTGTACTGTTGTTCAAAAGAATCACTCAGGGTAAGTGTAAAGATTTGGAAAGCAGGAAATGATTTACAGCCAAGGCATTAATTAAGGACCTATAACTTTGGCAAAGTGCACCATGAACTTTTGGTATTCTTTGAGTTGCACCCACATGACGAACGTGCAGTTTGGTAGTTATCAAGAGGGTGTGGAGCTCATATGTACAAAACAAGACCAGACAAAGTCAAGGCCAAGGCCTGGCTTGTTTGGCTGGTAAAGATGCAAGAAGCTACTTTCAAATTTAACAAGCTAATTACTGAAGTAGATAGCAAAGATATAAACCAAAGATATTAGATTCCTGTCATTCTTGCCCCACACATCTGAAAGAACCACACGAAAATGAAAGGGGCTTGATGATGGTTATTTCAGTTGTAGTGCACCCCGTTTCCAAAAAGTCATTAAGAGACTGCTGCTGAAAGGGGTTGGACTGGCAGTGTATGGCTCAAAGTCTTCTTGAACACTGATGGGTCTGAATTTTTAAATATATTAAGTCCCTTTCCAAACTTCCATGATCAGAATTTACCCTATATGAATCTGTGTTTTCCCTTGCCAATTATGTTATGCAAATGCCAATCTCATTCAATGAGAGATCTGAGGACTCATGGGGAAAAAACTCATCCTCTAGGACCAGCAGAGAAACTGCAGACAACACCCAACACTTCGGGTGTTATCAGGAGAAGAGTTTGTGCAGGTGTAATGGGTTTCTCCTGAACAGGTTGTGCACCTTTCTCTCAAGGACTCATAACTTGGCACTTACAAGACAGAAGTCTATTTGTGAAAATTGAAAGGTTTATCTCTACTGTTCTATATACTATTTAAGGAGGTATACCATAAAAGAGTAAAAAAAAAATCTAGTGATCAGATAAGAAGAATTTAACATAAACTATAACAAGTGTTAGAATCACATTTAAAGCAAACAAGAGGGGAATTGAAGCAATATTGAGGTTACAAGATTCTGGAAGCTGCTACCACTTCTAGGCCAGGCGGGCCAGAGTGAGGAAGTAGGTTAATTCCAAAGCAATAGGTCACTAAATGGTGTCAGGCTGACTATTACACTAGGGTTTAAATGCCTTTAAGACTGATTCCATACTGGATAGATTGCTAGATACTATAATGCTCCAAACTTTAGACAGAAAACTGACGAACACAGAGAAGTAGGTGGGGGAAAGCCCTGATACCCTTTTTAATTGCTATGTAAAATCTTCATGTCTTTTAGAAGGATTCTTAGGGCCCATTACCTTCTACTTCCTTTCTGTGCTAAGGTTTGCATAAGAGTTACTTGAGAATGCTTTCATTAAGGGTTTTGTTTCTCATGGGAACATGAGGCAAAGCAGAAAACCTTCCAATGTGTTTAGGGAGGAAATGTGAGCTTCGTGAGCTTCGTGAGCTTCGTGAGCTTCGAGTTCTTTCTGGTTGGGTGGGTCAAGTGTTGTGATTGAAAGTCAGGACTTCAGTAGTTGTATAAATAAGTGTGTGTACAAAAGAAGCTGCCACACGTTAAACGGTAGGTGGGACCACTGACTTGGCGGATTCACCAGGTTTTCTGGTTGAATTTTCAATTCTGGGAAAATACCAGAGGTATCTGTCATGAAGCTGGTAACTGTCTTCCTGCTGGTGACCATCACCATTTGTAGTTACTCTGGTGAGTATCTGGGCATATCTGTCCTTTCTTTGCTTTTCTGTGAGTAGAACACCACCAGTAAGTACAGACTGACTAACAGTGGGAGTATGCTGGGAGAAGTTTAAAGATCACAAAAATGGTACTGTTAGAGTATATTTTAGAATCCCCCTGCCATTCAAGTCCTAATCTAACACAAGAACTTTCCCTACACCTGCATGGGAAGTTAGCCAATTCCCGTTCAAGGCCAGTAAAGTATATTTCACTACCGGATATTGATCACCACTAAGTTCCTTTAATCTTGAGTCAAAATCTGACTTAGTAATTTCTCTTAGGCTTTCTAAAACTATTTGGAATCATTTTTGTTTCTGTCTCCAGTTATCCAGCGCCAGGTTGATTTGCTAGGCGATTTCTCCTAAGATGCCGCATTTATCATTCACTTTCTCAATGGATGTTTCTTGAGTAGCTATACTTTTTTTGAACACTGAATAAGTATTAGAATATTGAGACATAAGTCAGCCATAAATGTTATAGCAAGGAGACAGTAGTTATTAGGGCTGGTAAGATTTTTACAGAAGTCACTACAGTATTATACTACTGCAAATATATACTAAGATATGCGAATAGAGCACTGTGGGTGTCATGAGGGGGAGTGAGTTTAATTTCAGAATTAAGATATAGAAGATGGTGCCTAAATGAAAAACAGGAACTGATCCAGGAAGAATCCACTGCAACTAGTAGGGAGAAGCATTTGGGTGCATGAAAAAATGCTTTCATGGCGGTTAGTGCTCAAAGGACGGAATACTTTCATATCCTTTTCAGAAAGATGCAAATATGTAGACAAAGCATTCACCAAAATGTCTGAAATAAGAAATATGAAGATGGATCATGAGAAACCAGATGCAGGCCACATTTACAATGGCAACTCTGGCTGGTGATTTTTTGCAACTTTTTTGCAGGAATTTTTAACATTACCAGTTCTAGATGTTTCATTCTTGTTCAGTATGCTGGGACACATATCCTTAGGCAAAACTGGCAACAGAAAAGGAGAAATTCTTGGGGGAAATAAAAAGAGAGGCCAGGTTCATGGTCTCCCTTTTATAATTGGAGTGTGGAAACAGAAAGTTTCAAAATGAAAACGAATCACTGGGGCCCGTGCTGTGGTACTATGGTGCAGTGGGTTAAGCTGCTGTCTATGACACCAGCATCCCATAGGAGTGTCAGCTGAAGTTCCAGCTCCACTTTTGATCCAGCTTTCTGCGAATGTGTCCGGCAAACCAGCAGAAGATTGCTTATGTATCTGGGATGCAGCCACCACTGCCAGGTAGGAGACAAGAATGGAATTCTAAGCTCTTGATTCAGCCTGGCACGGCCCCACCCACTGCAGTAATTTGGGAATGAACCAGTGGATAAAAGACTGTTTTTGTTTTCTCTCTCTCTATCAACTTTGCCTTTCAAGTAAATAAATCTTTATTAAAAAAAAGAAAGATTAATGATGGCAGATCTTACTCAGCAGGAGGATACGTATGCTCATGTAAACGAGCATTTATACATAATTGCTCACATAGTTTTTGGAAAAATTTTTTAGCAGACATATTTTTCCAGTTTTTATTCTTTTCTTGTCATTCCTCTTCTATATAAAAATTATCTTTCTAAAGCCAAAACCATAAAATGTAATATTCCTATATTAAAGCCTTTGTTTCCCATTGCCCCAGGAAGCAGTTCTGGAGTCTGGTATGAGATGCCAGGGCTTCACCCAACCTTTGCATCCTCACCTCCTTTATCTTCCACACCTAGAGCATACCCAGTTGGAGTGATGCACTCCAAGCTCTCTGGGCAGAAGGCTCACCTTTCTAGGTATCATTTTCCACCTTAACTTCTCAGTGCTTTCATGACTATTGCTCTTAAAATGCTACACTTTTTCTTTTACCTTGTGACCTTGATAGCGGCCTCAAGAGATAGCTCTAACAACACTTCTGGCGATAACCCTGCAATACTTTCCCATGACAGATTTAGTTATCCCTTCTTTGGTGTTTCTAGAGAACTCTGTCCATAGTGTGGCAGGGCATTCCCAAGCCACAGACAGAGTTGGATTGGAAGTGGAACAGCTGAGACTCGAACCAGCACCCAAATGGATGCCAACACTGCAGGCAGGATTAGCCTACTATGGCACAATGCCAGCCCCAGGAGACTCATAATTATGCCATCGCTCTTCAGTTTAAAGCTGTAAGCTGTTGAAATAGTCATATACAATGGACTTTGGTACTCATCTGACCAACAGTATCTACTTATCAGTGCTTACTGTAGTCAAGGGTTAATTCTATTGACATGAATTGCAGTAGTGAACACAACATAAATTCCTTCTTTCCATGGAACCCACATGAAAGAGATGAAGGCAATAAGAAGGATAAAGATTTAATATTTTAGGTGATGATAAAAAAGTTAGATGGTGATGGATGGTGTTATTTTAGGTGTAGTGGCAATAGCTTTTCTCTGAGGAGGTAACATTTGAAGAGATAAAAACTGTGAGAAGAAAGACATGTAGCTATCTAGAGAAAGAACACTCCAGGGATGTGGAGCAGCATTGCACAGGCCCAGAGACACAAGTTTTCTGGAATAAATGGTGCTTTTAGTGGACAAGGCAGAGGGTGTAGTCAGACAGGAGCTAGCTAAGGTTCTCTCACTGGTCTCTCTTTTGTTTTGCAGCTACTGCCTTCCTTTTTAATAAGCTGCCTGTCCCTATTGACAAGGTGCTACCATTACCCCTGGACAACATTCTTCCCCTCATGGACCCACTGAAGCTTCTTCTGAAAACTCTGGGTATTTCTGTTGAGCACCTTGTTGAAGGGCTAAGGAAGTGTGTGAATGAGCTTGGACCAGAGGCTTCTGAGGCTGTGAAGAAACTGCTGGTATTTACAACTTGTGGGGGCTCATATACTAGGAATGAGGGCGTAGTTACCTGCATGCTCACCTCATCATATTCTCATTTGTTAAAATACATTTCCCTCTAGATGACTGTATTCCTATAACACTTGTGCAACCCAGATTTTCAACATACAATTTCTACATTTCCAGAAAGAATTTTTGAAAGTGTTCTAGATAGAGCATCATCTATCAACTTTGTGATTCTGGTTGGGACCACCTACTCTTAAGTCTTTTTCTTACCAATAAAATGAGGGCGAAGAAGAGTGATAGAAGTGAATAGTTTTGAAACGTGATAATAACATGCAAACTGCTTTTTTCTTTATACATCTCTTATCCTTCTGTCTTTCAGGAAGCCCTTTCACATTTGGTGTGACATCAGAGAAGAAAGAGAGAGAAGGTGGAAGTAGACTGAGGATGATGCTCCCATTCTCCCTGATACTCATTTTCTCTAACTGTACACTAAACAGGCTAAGATCATCTACTTCTGGAAAGGATGAATAAAGCAATGAAAAGATTTTCAATTTTTTGTTTTTGGTCTTGGGGCTCAATTTAGAAGGTAATTTTTCCTTTGGCTCGCAAAGTTTAGAGATCTTGGTATTATGAAGATTTTCTTAGCCTACTAATAAGACATTATTATTCTTTCCCCTTTGTCTCTATGCAAAAATTTTTGCGTATCTGATAGTGTTTCCAAAATTTTAAATCTATCTTCCCAACTCTATAGAAAAATTAATCTTTTTAAAACTGTGAGAGTTGGGCCTGGCGGCATGGCCTAGTGGCTGAGGGCCTCGCCTTGAATGCACCAGGATCCCATATGGTTGCTGGTTCTAATCCCGGCAGCTCCACTTCCTCTCTATCTCTCCTCCTCTCTGTATATCTGACGTTGTAATAAAAATAAAATAAATCTTTAAAAAAAAAAAACTGTGAGAGACACACAGACATACCATGGGGGAGAAAAATGGGGAGAGAGAGGAATCACCATGTACTAGTTCACTGTTCCAATGTCTGCAATGACTGAAGCTGAGCCAGGCTAATGCCAGAAGATGGGAACTCATTTCAGGTCTCATACACAAACACTTGGACCATCACTGCTACCTCCCTGAGTATGCATTTGTAAGAAGCTGGTGTCAGGAGTTGTGAGTAGTTTTCTCATAATACACAATTTATTTGAACCTTTGAAGATCCATAATGATTTTCATTTATAATTTCTGGAAATCATAGAAAACATCTATCAATAATTTAGTGTGATTTTCATGTACTTCTACATAAATACAAACACACACACAAATATGTGAATGAACTTTGCCTTATTTAACCTGTGAATAGTTGCTTCACTAATTTTTACTATGAAAAGTACCCCAGTAAACATTTACTTGTTTTCTATATTTTCACCACTTCAAAAAATCTTAAAAGTACAAGATCAAGAATTATATGATATGTAAAATTTTGATAGTTACTGACAAATTTCCATTGGAGAGTCAGTTTATTCCTGAGGTGACTTAGGTCAGGAAAGCTCAGTTCCCAAAGATGACGGAATTAGAAATCTAGGGAATGATTGTTCTGCCTGAGCTGGCTAGAAATCCATTTGCATTATGTGGTTTAGAATCAGAAAAGACAATATTTGAATCACAGTATTTTTGGTCTCCATGCTTAAAATAAATAATACAGACATGTAAGTAAGTCTGTAAAAATATTTTTTATTTTGGATAAAAAAATTAAGTGAAAAATTCTCAAGCTTTTGAGGCAGTTGTATGACAGAAGGGGGCACTCATAGGTTATTAGAAATATCAAGGAAGAAATAGCACCTTACATAGATTACTTTTCCAATGGTCACTCACAACTACACTCAGTTATTTGACGTCCCTTCTTTCTGATAACAACCTATATGCTAACCACCATTTCAGACATTTTTAAGAAGTGATTGTGTTTTCACAGATGGCTGTGTCTCTATCAAAACAGAACTTACATACCAATTAGATAATAGTACAGATGATGGTAATAAACTATTGCAGTGATTGGACACTTGCTGTTTTTATATACCTGTTGATTCAATAAATGACTTAATGATTAAATACGACTGTAGTATCACCTGGTTAGATACTGAGTTTATAGAGATAAGCAAAACGGACATGGCCCATCTCCATAGACATTTTAGTAAATAGGGAGATACAGATACCATGTAATAAACACGGTTAAATAATTATAAATAATGACAAAAAGCAAAGGGAATGAATGGTATTTAAAGAATGCTAATAATGGTAAAAGCTCTCTATTTTGGGTCCTTTAAATTGGGACTTGTGGTTGAAACACCAATCTGAACCAAATAATGTAGATAGAAGGTATTCCACGTGAGTCTATGCTTAGACTATGGAAAACTTGGGTTCTTCAGAGAACTGAAGAATCAATTACGTGGTAGCACCTCTGTGAGCTGGATCTGAAGGACGTGAGCCGGGGCTGAACAGACAGAAAGAGGTAAACCCATATGTTTTGTGTCGTGGTCAAAAGCCCCGTTTCTGTGTGTTTGTTTTATTTTTGTTTTTGTTTTCAATCCTATTTGCCTAGGGAAACCTTGGGAAGTTTTGGGTCCTTTGTTCTCCAATGCTCTGAATGGGATTATCACACATTCACTTGCATTAGTCAGACTCGGAGGAGGAGTCATGTTTGATATTTCCTCTCCTTTGTGCATCATATCCAACTCATCATCATGTCCTATCATCTGCAGTTTTCTCTTGAATCCCTCAGCATTGCACCATCTGCATTGACACTCTCTTGCCCAGGCAAGAATCTAAGACATCATCCTGCTTTGCTGTGGACCTGCAGTCTGCTCTGTACAGCAACTAATTCACCTTTTCAAAACCCAAAAGTGATTACATTCATTCTAATTCTTAAAACTCTTTGCTGGGTGTCCACTGTTCTCAGGATTAAGAAGAAAATTCTGACCATGACCAATGAGGTCCTGAAAGACTTGTTTTCTTGTTTGACTCTCCTTTGCTCTCATTAACTTTTCAGTCACTTTGGTCTCCTTCCACTGCTGAACACAGGATATCAGCAACAAGTTTGGCAAATGATTTTCATAAAACTGCCATATCTCTGAATTTTATCCTATTTAATCTCCTTGTCAGTTTTTTTTTTTTAAATATCTCAGCTCATTTCATTTCCTTAAGCAGTCCTCATTGTGACCATGGTTCAAGGAGAACCATGTTTCTTCCTTTTTGAGTATGTTTTTCAAAATATAATCATGCATTTTTCTGAAATTCTTGATTAATGAGTAGGTAATATGATACCACATACACTACTTATACTCCAATAGATGCTATTATTTAAAGAAATGAGACTGTCTCATTTAACATAAAGTTCTCGTATTAAGTACAATATACTATCTCTCCACCCACATTATTGAGCAGATTGCCCTGACATAAAAACTCAAAGGTATCCCTGATTTCCCTATCACTTTACCTAAGTTGGAAGGTAGATCCAATAATTGCTTTCCCAATGTAGGTTAGGACCCACATAAGTGAGTGAAGCCTATGATATTGTCAACCTTTTCCCAGTATCCGAGGCAAGTAGAACAGGCAGGTCAATTTCTGACCTATCAATTTAATTTCTGGAGATCTTTTTTTCCAGCACAAAACTGTGTTTTATTTTTATTTAACAGGTTAAATGTGTCTAAAGCTCTATCCTTTGCTTTGATTCCCCTTCCGTGTCTTACTTTTTTCTTTTTCTAACTTCAAACTCCTGTTTGTTAATGCACCAGTCTTAAAAAAAAAAAAATCTCTGCAGAAACTGGCAATAAGGTGGGTATAAATATAACAGGAACAGTTTCCTTTTTTTAAAAGTGGCACAAGACGGGAAATCTCTTCCAAAGTAATAAAAACATAAGCGTCTAAGTTTACATGTGTGATTATTTCAATTGCAGCATCCTTTGAAGAGATAAAAGAATAGAGATGATATGAATGTACATCAATAGAAAAAATACTGTGATACCTTAAATGGTGAGCTAGTGGGTGCCTTTCCAGTAGTTTCTATTGATTCACCTAAAATACACACCAGCAGATAATGTTAAATAGGAAAAGCAAGGTGCAAAGGGAAGTGTGCCTCCTTCCCTGTATGTGCATAAATCTGGACCTGTTCAAACAGATTGACTGCTCATAAGACTAGTTTGGGGATAATGATGCTAGAATGGCAGACTGCTAATTTCATAATTATATACATATTTCCCTGTTTCCCTCACTTTCCCCACATGATAAACAGAAGGTACATTTTATGTATCCATGCAATATATATACATATTTATTACATATGATACTATAAAATATAACACATGTATGTATATATTCATATTTATCTGTATATATATTTGCTTTATAACACACACATATATGTATATTTATTTTATTTGTTAGGGAAAGTGAAAAAAGAGTTCTTTCTGCTTGTTCACTTCTAAACACCTGTAACAGCTAGGGACAGTCCAGGCCACAGTCAGCAGAGAACCCAGGCTGGGTCTCCCACACGGGTGGCAAGAATCTGAGCATCTGAGCCATCATTTGCTGCCCCTCAGGGTGCATACCAGCAGGAAGCTGTATCTCAATCAGAGCCAAGGCTAGAACCAAGCACTGCAACGTGGGACATGGAGACACCCCAGTACGTCCTAATCCCTGAGCCAAGAGCTCACTCCTTTTATAAAATTTTTGAAAAGGAAGTTTGAAGAAAACAGGAAAGTAGTTCATATCACATATTTTTATATATCAGCAAATAGTTCTTTCTCTCAGAAATAATTTAAAAAGCAGTAAGAAGAAATCCTATACAAGACTTAAGAAGTAGTCAAATCAAGAGCTTTAGAGTCACACAGATATTTCCTCAGGTTCAGATTGCATCACTAATGACCTGGTAGATCTTGGGCATATTTCTCACACTTTAGGGTCTCACCTAAAACATGTCAAAAAAGGTTAATATTGAACTAACATTGAATTCTTGTATTTGGAGTGAGGATTAAACATAGCATTTATGAAAGGACAAGCCTGGGAAGTGCCCTATTGTTACCTGCTCCTTAACAATGGTATGTAGGTGTGAAGGGCTCTAGGGCCCTCCCTGAATGCCAAGCATTGGCGCAGTCTGAGCTTTGGTTTCTGCTTTCCCATGGCTGAATCATCCTTCCATCTTCTTTTGCATGTCTTCAAATCTTTTTATCATCTGTCAACACATGTTTCAGATATTCTGCTAAGAAGTCTTCCCAGAGCTCTGGAGCGGGTGAGAATGGCTCTTTATCCTAGCTAACGTTCTCAGGACTGTGCTTTTCAATATTGTCTTACCATTAAGTAAAATTTACCAATATTCCCTGATTTAAATTTCTTTGCTTAATGCAAAAATAATACATATGAGTAGCTACTTTCTACTAGACACTGTTTTAAAGAGTCACCATTGTGCTAGGAACACAGCGCAAGACGGGCACAACTGCTTGTGATAGTTCAAACTCCTAATAGAAGTAGGAATAAAAAGGAACAAAATAAATTAAGTTTTTAACACTGTTAAAAAATGAATGTTATGCCTAAGAAATAAAGCAATCAAAGGAAACAGGAATTACTGGGCTAGAACATGTAATCTTAAGTGAAGTGATAAATGAAGGCCTCACTGGCGACAGTTGAGAAAAAGACATAGAAGTGTGGAAGCAAGCCAAGCAGTTATGTTCCAGGAGAATATTTTAGACACAGGGAAGAGCAAATTCAAGGCCCCATGAACAAAACAGGCCCTCAAGGATCCCAATGTGCCTGGAATGGAAAGAGAAAAAGGAATAAGAAGTAAGAGAAGGATGGGAAACAGATAACAGAATCGAAGCCATCAATACTAAGAAATTTAAAAATGTAGCTATTGGCTCACAACATGTTGAGAAATGGCAGAAGGAACTGTTATGATTTGATTTTCACTTAAAAAGATACTTTTCCTAGTTGGAATTTTTATAAAATACAACATGCAATTTCTAGCAAGTATTCAAGTCATGGCAGGGATTTAGCAGTAAAGACAGACGAGTGATGGTGTGGATTGTGTCCTGATGGTTTCATGGGGGAAATACTATGCTGAAGGCTTGACAAACTAGTTGCTTCTATTGACTTTACCATATTCAACATGATGTCAATTATCTTCCTTTTCACCTGTCATATGAAGAAACTGATGCTTTCTTAATTCACTTCAGTCACATCGTGATACGACAGATCATAGTGAAATGATCGTGTGAAAGGATCATACAAAAAAGACACCAGGCAGATGAAAAAGACTTGACTTGTAAAACCTCACTGACTGCAGACCCGGGTCTTACTGGAGAGGAGGGAGAGAAGGCAACGAAGGGTTAGCAGAGGAAACATGCTGGTGACGCGAATGGGAAAGCGTCCAGGTCTGTACAGACTGCTGAGATCTGAGAAGGCTACTGCACAGCAGTGCACCAAATCCAGCACTGATTTGCGACTTTCCCCCCATCCCACCTGACGTGAAAGAGTGATTTGAAAATTCGTAACACACAGGAGAATGCAAAGGCAGACATTCTTGGAGGGCAAGTTTTTCACACCTAAGCAGTCTGTTGATTGATATAAGTACAATGAGTGTAGGTACCCTCTAGGCACAAATTATCATCTTATAAAGCCGAAAAGGAACTTTTGGCACCCACATTTTGCAGCAAGAAGCCGTCTGCATGTCAGATCCTGATTGTAATAGACGCCTTAGTTAACCTGGATAAAAGCATAAAAGTGATGTTTGAAATTACCATACTTCTGAGAAAATACATAACAGATTGAATTATTACAAAAGGTAACAGACATTTATGAATATAGGTGGCATTCATTCTTAGCTCTAAAGTTCTATTGTCTTGGATGCACACCTATTCTGGTGAAGAGAAAAAAACAAGAAGACAACAAACAAAATATTTATTCAAATTGGAGTTGTTTTCAGGATCGGTGTCTGTGACCCAGGACTCCTGGGAGCTCACAGCTTTTGTTTTTCTAGACTAGCACGTGGCCTTAACGGACATTTTGCTCTATCACTGCTTTTGTGTTCTTTTGCCCACATTAGTTAGCTGTCAATCAGTTAAATTTTACTTTTGGTGACCAGACAAGAACCAGAGGCAGGGCTGCTGAGAACCCAATCACTACAATGTAGAAGAGGGATGACAAAGATTCTTCTTTTTTATTTAAGTATTTACTTTGTTTTTATTGGGAAGTTAGATCTACAGAGAGGAGGATCCTCCGTCTGATGATTCAATTCCCGAGTGGCCACAATGGCTGGAGTTGTGCCGATCTGAAGCCAGGAGCCAGGAGCTTCTTCCAGGTCTCATACGTGGGTGCAGGGTCCCAAGGCTTTGGCCCTTCCTCATCTGCTTTCCCAGGCCACAAGCAGGGAGCTGGATGGGAAGCAGGTTGCCAGGATATGAGTCAGCGCCCATATGGGATCCTGGTGCTTGTAAGGCAAGAACTTTAGCTGCTAGGCTATCGCGCTAGACCCGTATAATGCTATTATGAGAATAATATGAGAACAGTAAAAATCTTCAGAAAAAAAGTTTTAAATTTATTAGTTCAGAAGAGTGGGGTCATACATTGTTTGAAAGACTTTCCAAAAAAGATGCATAAACTTCTTAAATTCTGAAATTTTCTATATTTTCAAGAATTAAGAATTTGCTTTTTGGAGTCCAGACCAAATGTGTCACTTACTGTCCTTATTACTTTATCTAGGTTTTAGTCTTCCATTTCGAATCACTCTTTGGTTGTCCAGGCTAACAGTGAGTAAGTTAGAGAGTATGTGTGTGTTTATACTCTTAAGAATTCCCAAAATGCTCAGGAAAAACTAGTTTTGCTCACACAATCTCTCTCTGTTAATTAGGATATGTGACCTCAAAGAAGACACATTTATTCTTTCTAGAAGCAAAATGACAAAGTTGGGGTATTTAACATGATTGCAGTTCAGCTGAAGCCAGAGACGGATGCCTGAGAGCTTGCGGAAGCTGCTCTGTGCGCTCTCCTGCAGGGCTGGACGGGAAGACGTGCACAGCAGGACTCGACTGACCTTGGACTGTCCAGGAGTCACACAGCTGTGTCCTTGGAAACACAAGCCAAAGACAGGGAAGCGATCACCACCGAGAGCGGGCTTCAGGCAAAAGATGCAAGACCTTTTTCTTTCAAACATTTGCTTCTGCGTTTTTAAATGTGAAAGATTTATAATGAAATCAAATATAATATACAATTGATGAACTGGATGAACAACAATAGACACAGAAGCTCAAGGCATACAAGAAAAGAATCAGAAGCAAGGATGAATGGAAAATGCATAAACGTAAGGATAAAATGATTCATATATTTCATTGAAATTTTTCACTACAAGAAGTTTCTTTTTAGTTTTACTAGTTCCTTCCTGCACAGTTCTGACTCAGTAAATCTAGCATGTCCACTGTACACTTTTCTTCATTTAATAAATTTGTGCAGGAATGAAGTGTTCAGGAATTACGTTCCTATCTGTTATTCTTTGACTTTTTGTGTGTGTGTGTTTGTGTGCAAGAAAATTTACACTTGAAAAAGCCAAATGACTTAAAGCACAAAGAGGTAGGATTTGATCTGTGTGGTTCTAAGTGATGCAGAACAACAGGTGAAAAAAGAAAGAAGTTCATGCAGAACTTCTTAGCAGAATTGTGACAGGAACCAAATCTCCTATCAGAGGTTATTGATATCATTACACAATTATTAATCTGGCAACTTTTAATAAAACTACATACAGTTAAAATTAATCTTTAACAAAACAGAATACAGTAAGAACAAAGAAAGAATGTTTAAATGTCCTTCTCTTCCTTGAATGTAAGCCTACACACTAAAAATCATTAAATAAAACCAGAAAATCCTTTTTGTAGGCTCTAATAAATTATTAATTTAGTTGTAAATTGTAAATTAAAATCACCTTGGCAGGTCACTTTGATGAATGTTCTTATGGATTATCATCAAATTCCACATATCCTCTTGAAAAGAAAAAATAATAAATTATGATTTAGAGTGAACAGAAGTGTCAAGAATGATTACCAAGGTGCTGAACGACACTGAATCACAGTCTTCCTCAGGGTCCCCTGCGTCAGGAGGAAATCAGAGCCGCTGTCTACAGTAGTCACACCTGGCAAGCCATTTATGCATAATTATCTTTTTGAACCCACCAATAAAACTATTACTTGAGTTTATCTTCATGTATTAACTTTCAAAAGTTATTTGTTGGTAAAAACATCTCCAGAACTTAGAACGGTGCCTGGCATTTGGAATGAATTAATATGCATGTTTCCTAATACATTTTTATCTATATTTATATTTGAAAAAAATTGTGAGAGTAAAGATCAAGTCACTTACCCAAATCACTGCTGACACCTTTTAAAGTGACCTGTGAAACATAACTCTCCAGGAATTACCAACCCCCTGCAACACTGCACTGCTCAAGCAGTGGGTACCAGGGCAGATTCGAAGGAAGGTAAAAGATGACTAAAATGCAGTATGCAAATAATAATAATAATAATCTGCTGGAGAAAACGAATACATTCAAGTACAAATAGTTTTTTAAAATGCGAAGGGCCCAGCGGCGTGGCCTAGTGGCTAAAGTCCTCGCCTTGAACACGCCAGAATCCATATGGGTGCCAGTTCTAATCCCGGCAGCTCCACTTCCATCCAGCTCCCTGCTTGTGGCCTGGGAGAGCAGTCGAGGACGGCCCAAAGCCTTGGGACCCTGCACCCGCGTGGAAGACCTGGAAGAAGTTCCTGGCTCCTGGCTTTGGATTGGCATAGCATCGGCCGTAGCGCTCACTTGGGGAGTGAATCATCAGATGGAAGATCTTTCTTACTGTCTCTCCTCCTCTCTGTATATCTGACTTTCCAATAAATAAATAAATCTTTAAAATAAATAAACAAAAAAATAAAAACGCGAAAACTTCTGAGCATTTCTACAAAGCACTGTGAATTACAGAACTTCAAACACTGATTTTTCTTTTTTTTTTTAAGTTTATTTTAGGATTGTATTTTTTTAAGATTTACTTTTATTGCAAAGGCAGAGAGGAGAAGAGACAGCAAGGAAGCTCTTCCATCCAATGGTTCACTCCCAAAGCAATCGCAACGGCTGGATCTGAACCAATCAGAAGCCAGGAGCCAGAAGCTTCTTCTGGGTCTCCCACATGGGTGCAGGGTCCCAAAGTTTTGGGCCATCCTCGACTGCTTTCCCAGGCCATTGGCAGGGAGTTGGATGGGAAGCAGGGCCACTGGGATTAGAACCAGCACCTGTGTATGGGCTCCTGATGCGTTCAAGACAAGGACTTTAACCGCTAGGCTATCGCGCCAGGCCCCAAATAATTTTCTAACTACAGAGCGGTTGTGACTTCTTCAGATAACTATTTAAAAACTTTAAGAAATGGTCGGATCTGCTAGGTTGACAGAATAAGGATGGCTTTGCAGGACAGGAAATAATGACAGAAAGCACATGCATAAGTCTGGGGGTTGTGATACGAGTTTGTCTGAATACAAAATCTCTCACTGGGGACAGTTAAGTGTTTGTCAAGCGCCCGGAGGAGTCAAAGATAGAAGTGAAAGACACATCTGCATTAGAGAAAGACCTACTGCATTTCTTCTGCTTTCAGGCACTGAGAATTCACGCACGAGATCTCAAACATGTCAATAATATAACTAAATCTGTGTTTTTAATAAGTTGCTTAGGCAGGAGTTAGACAATGAAGAAGAGACCACAGTGACAATGGTCATCAATATAATTTAAAAACTCAGGAGAGACATGATGAACAGCTTGTTTATGGAAACTAATCAGTGAAATTGAAGAAAATGAATGGTATAGGAAAAATAATTAAGATTAGAGTATTTAGCAAGTGGACGAAGATGGTGACATGCGGAGATTGCAAGGTTATGAATTCTGAGTGAACGGTGAGCGGACTGCCGGAACAAGAAGGGGCAGACTCTTAAGCCAGGGGATGGACTTGGATTTTAGACACTGACTTGTAAGTACTGACCAAAACTAAACAGAAATCTTTTTGTTTTGTTTTTAAGCAAACAGTTATTTCATTATGAAGCTTGGGAGGAGAAGCGTAACAGAGACATCACTCTGAAACTCAATAGGCTATATGAAACGTTCCCAACGTGGAGGATGCAGTGTAAGAAACGAGGCATTTGGAACATTAAAAAATAATGATATTTAAGAAACAAGCACATGACACAGTCAAATAAACAGATTTCCTCCTCAGCTTGGGAGAGGGCTAGATATATACGTCAGAGAACTCCAGGCACGTGTGGGGAGGTGGAGGCAAGGATATTGACAAGGATTAACACTCCCTACCTCCGCAAGTGCACCGAGTTAAGTAAGCATACATCTGTGTTCAGGAACAGTGTTAAGCAGGATCCAGTCGGCACAGCTCTACGGTCAAAGCACAAGGCAGTGGGGGCAGCAACCTGGCCTACTCACTGCCACGGCAGCACTTATTTTGCATTTATTATGTGTACGATACATGATATTGAAGTAAATAAAACAATTTCCATTTAAAAAAATGAATTTCTACCATTCCTCTCATTCTTTTTAATCAAATCTCATTCCAGGCCCCAATTCCACCTCACTTTCCCCATAAACACCTGCCTAAGCACACAGGCACAGCTCCATTCACTAGCAATAATTTTTTTGATATTTGGCTAACATTTAGCCTAAGGGGAGTTCTTCATTATAATTGCACTGGTTTATTCCATTTAAACTATAGACTAAAAAATTATTTGAGAAGGAAATTTCTGGTCTGGAAATCTCCTTAATGTGCCTGTCCCTACTTTGCACATATACAGTGGCCAGTAATATATTTTGATGGTCTCCCATGCCCCGTCCTCCATTATGCTTATGGTCTTCACCTGGACAAGCATCACAGCTCTTTTGGGTTCTGATGCTATTACCAGCCAAATTTATTTTCCTGAGTCAGAGCAAAGATCTTTTAGGATCTTCATTCAAACTGGGCAGTGGAGCTTCAGATCTGATCTCTAGGATCTCTTTCCTTTACTAATTCAATCCAACAATTATTTCCTGGGTATCTGATAGTATGGGCTATGCACTGTGCTATCACAATGAAATGCAGACATGCAGTCTCTACTTTCATCTGGCTTCATGATTAAGGATAAACAATTTCAGATGGCAACAAATGTTATAATGAAACTATGGCCAGGTGAAGTGATGGAGAATAATAGATGTGGCTGGAAGGGGACAGTATTAATATGGACAGTCATACAACAACTGTCTGGGGAGGTGCCTTCTGGATGTGCTGCAGGCCCAAGCCACAGACACAAGAAAGGAAAGAATATTTCAGCCAGAAATGAGAACGAAGGCTGGGAGCTTGAGAGGACTGCAACCAGCTGCAGCACAAGGATCATTCAGCATCACACTAGGAGTAAGAAGCAGCACAGTCAGGTCAAGGCCCTGTTCTGAGCCTGGAGCAAATGCCACATTTTTAACACATCAGATAGGCAACTCTCAGGGTGAGGACCAAGAAAAAGGAGCCATTTTTACATGTGTGAAACATCCCAAGTAAGGACTGAGAAAACGATTACTGCTCCAATTCCTGTCTTTACTACGAATTACCAAAACAATACTGAGTCAACTGCGATCTAAACCATACTTTATATGTAATGAGTATTATTCTCAGCCTTATTGTTTCCTTCTTGCTGACATGAACAGCGGGGCGGAAGCTGGTAGCTGCAAAACAACCACAATAGGAAATGTCACAACAAAAAGGAAGAGTTTTGACTGTGGAGAAGACTCTTTCTCCAGGCAGGTGATTTGTAATGACTGAGGCAGAGCAATAGTTACTGAACTTGATCCTGGCCAAGAGGCCGAGAAGCGACAGAGCCAATATTACAAGCAAGTCCTTTTCTGAAAATGACTAATAGTAGTTAGGAAAAAATCTTTTAAAATTCCCACCCACTAAAACAAGCACAAAATTAAACAAGCACAAATTTAAAGACTGTGTAGAAGTTTTAAGCAACATCAATGTAACTCAAAACACCTGATCAAGGGTAGGCTTTCAAGAATTTGCTGTGCATTAGAATCACCTGGGGAACTTGTTAAAACGCATGCCCAGAACACTGTTCTCAGGAAGACACAAGATGGAGGAGCCTTTCTTTACATGTTTCTGCAGAGGACTGTGAATCAGGTGAGTGAAAGGCCTCACTGGGGGATCTATGAAGGAGTTAGAGTTAGTTCCACTTCCTCCTAGATGGGAGGAAGCGGAAAGCATTTGTAAGTTTTAAAAAGTGAATTTGTTCTTAAGAAACGTATTTGGGAGATTAACATGGAGTACAGCGAGGCTGTGATATAAATTCAGAGCTACAGGGGCTGGCCTAAGTTGTGCTGGGACCTTGTTCTTGGGGCTGGGAAGGAGGCTGAGAACCATGGGAATGCTCCTGGAGGGGTCACGTCTCACTGTGGGATCCCTTGTGATCAAAGCAAAGGCTTCTGCTGAGACCTAGGTTATCTGAACAGAGAGATTGGGTGCGGTCTCTGATAACCCTGCTAAAAAACAGCCAGAGACGCATGACTCAATCCCCACCATCACTGCCCCTTGCCTCAACTACAGAAATCTCAGTGTTTGACCGGATGTGTCCTCAGAGCCCTTGTCCAAAACCAACAGGTGGTGCCCCCTTCGGCAGCACATATACCAAAACCAACAGGTAACCAGGACTAGCATTTAGCTTTGTGTCCCAGCTCTTCCCAATCTCTCTCTGATCCTGAGATTATTAGATACGTATTATGGAATAATTGGATAGTCATGTGCTCTCCCTCGCAAAGAGTTCAGGGGAATTTATTAAGAATAAATAAATAGAGCAAGATTTTTTTGATTGAAAAAAAATACTATATGGTCATGTGTCACAAACCGTTTCACAAACATTTTAATGCATTGTATTAATTACCAATCAGGAACTAGACATAAGCAAGGACTCAGTGCTTACGTTCCCCTTCTCATGGAGCGCAGGATGAAGTCAAATGCATTTTCAATGATTTCCGTGCCCAGGATGTTTAGGAATTTGGGGAAATCTGGCTCTGGGTTTTTGCCTGAGTCATCTGGCTTCTTATCTGGTTTGTCCTCAGGTTTGTCATCTGAAAAACAAAACAGTTTCAGTGGTGATTTTGCATAACAATCACAAGGGAAATTGTATCTTCCATTCAGGAAGTCCCTAAGGCAAAGGTACACCCACTCACTGTGCAGCCTGCTGTGGTTGTGTTTGTTGAACATTTAATTAATGCCCACTTGGTTGAAGTCTCACGTGCCAGTTGTTTCATTTATTCAAATAAATAAACAACTGGCACATGTGTATCCAGGTAGGCACTGCCTCCATTTTGTGGATGGCAAAAGTAAAAGCTCACAGATCTCAGTGGAAAACAGATGCTTAACATATGGAGCAGGACAGAGACATAGAAAGCCTGGCTTTTCCATGTCACCTTTATTTTATTTATTTATTTTGTTAAGATGTATTTATTTTATTTGGAACGTCAGGATAAGAGAGTTTCCACCTGTCAGTTTACTCCCTAAATGGCTGCAATGGTCAGAGCTGGGTCAGCCCAAAGCCAGGAGCCTGGAGCTTGTCTCCCATGCGGGTGCAGGGTCCCAATGCTCTGGACTGTCCTCGACTGCTTTCCCAGGCCACAAGCAGGGAGCTGGATGGGAAGCTGGGCGACCGGGATTAGAACCGGAGCCTGCGCGGTATGGCCGGTGCTAACAGAGCATTAGTCTGTCAGGCCTCTGAGCCGGCCCTGCTCGCGTCTGCTTTGTAATGTAATTCCTTTGTCTACAAAGTAAATATGAAAACAAGGACGAATGTTGAGCACACACCTATGACAGACAACCTCCTTGCGTTGTTTTGGATTCGCCCTTCCAACAACTCCATGAGGTAAACCAAATTATTATCCTAACTTAACGACAAAAAAAAAAAAAAAATTAAACCTGAGACTTAAAAAAGCTGTTTGGAAAGCACAGCTACCCTGCCACAGTCTTTGGGCCTGTTCCTCAGCGTTAGACCGGTTCCGTTCGGCAGCGTTGTCTCCACTGAGGCGCCGCCTTCCGCCAGGCTGCGTGAGGGACGTGAAGGACGCGGTGGCGTGCCTGGTGCGCATGCGCAGTGTGTAAGCGGCTTCTCTGCCCCTGGAAGGCGACGGGACCACGGGCCGCCTGCAGGGGGTGCTGTAGTGCGATGGTTTCGCCCGGGAAACCTTCTTCTCCATGCGAGGCCTACAGCAGCTGCCATCGCCAAGGCCAGTGAAGCGGTGTGCAAGTCTGAGAGGACAAAATCGATGAGGAGCACTCGGGCTGTGGTCCCCGAACACTGGGCTTCAGGAACCGGACAGTTCTGCACGGTGGCGTTGGCCTCACCAGCTTCATCTGCATCAAGCACCAGTAGCTGCTCACAGGCAGAGAGGGCTTTTCTAAAGATTTTGCAGCGGGGGTTTACAATCTAAAAATGCAAGATGACTCCCAAACGGAGCCTGCAGGTGCCTGTCGTCCTTGTCAAACACTTTTGTCCCCAACAGCCTTGTCACTTTCCTCGACAGCTCACGGCTCTGAGACAGAAGAAACTGGGCTTAAGACTCGATGCCCACAAGGTGGCAGCTGTAACGTATTGTGGGGATGTGGGTGGATGGCCCTTACTGGGACCTGAGGGGTTTCAGGCTCGTGGACCCGGTCAGCCCTCTGCAGGCTGTCTGGGAAGGCTACGAGGTGATGGCTGTGGACGAGGCCTGTGAAGTGACATCGGCTGGGAAGCTCGGAGGTCTTGGACTGTTCACTGAGGCAAGTCGGTGGGAGTGGTTGTGGGAAGCCATACAGTTGGGTCGGATGGCATGGGTCTGTGATGAGCACCGCTCCTCGGTTAGCAAGGCCATGAGGAGTTTCTGGTTGCGAGGCAAGGCCTGGCAGAATGTCTGGTCACCTCATTGCTGCCTCACCCCATTGTATGGACACTCAATCACCTCTCTGATGTTTCATAGAATTCCCCTGGTGTTTTTCTGCAAATGTGAAATGATTCCTGTAACTGGTATAACACCTCAAACTGATCAATCATGTTATGGTAAAAGCAGCTTTAGCAACTTAAGGCAATGAAACACAGCTAAAATCATACAATGGTATAATTGAGCCCACAATGTCTCCAAATATCCTGCTATGTGCCCACCTTTTCCCTGAAGCTTGCCCTAATGTAAGTCATGGTTTCATTAAGAAATGGTTTGACAATATCTTGGAACAGATGGCTATCATGGAGGTACAAATGTTTACCATGCGTCTGGAACTGTTACAACACATGAAATGACACATTTTATTTTCTCACCACGGAAAGCAGAAATTATACAGGGTATTTTCTAAAGGGAGACAAATGTGAACCCACCCAAAATGGCTTAAAATTTCTACCTTATATTGGCACTTACATTTAGGGAAAGAAAACAGTTTTTTAAAGATAAAGGGCAGTTTTTCTGTAAAGGCCCTTTGTTTGTAGATTGGCTGAGTTGCCCTGATCCCTTTCACTGCCCTTTAACAAATAAGCAAAAAAAAAAAAAAACCAATTAAATCAGCACTAAGAACAAAAACAATTGAATCAGTATTAGGTGAAAGTAATGGTAATTAATGCATGATTGATTATTTAATGAATAATAGCTTGTTAAATATTTTCTGTGTAGTAAAATAATGTTTTTTAGGATTGATTTTGTAATCATTCTTTTATAATGAAGTAAAAATGAAACAATTGGATGTTGTGCAAAAGCTTGTGATGACTTATGTATAAACATAGAAGGCAGCTTTTCTGAGTTGTCCATTATGAGCATCATGCCATAATGGTCCACGTCTCGTCCCTTCCCTCCTTCCCTCCTCATGCATCCTTCACAAGCTCTTGAGTCAGCCAGAGCTGGTCTACAGGAAGTGGTGATGTGGCTGTTTAAGTTCCACTGGGACCTCGAGGTGTGGCTTCTCAGAGCCTCACAGTGAGGAGGAACAGTGGGAGGAGCAGGTGATGGAATGTTGCTGGGAGCCTGACTGAGGACTGGGCCTTCTCTGAAACCTCAGATCTAGGAGGCTGGTTGTTTCAGTTAGAATGTGCAGTGATAGTCAAGCAAGAACAAAGAAACTGTAAACCGAGATTAAAAGGGGTTAGAGAAATAAACCAGAACGCCATGATGTTGAAATAGGATGATTCATATCACAACTCTGGGCCAAAAAGAGATGAATTTGGTTTATAATGTTTATGTAATCTTAAGACTATTACAAGAAGCCAGGAATATGGTTAATATACAAACTGGTGAAAATAAAAACGAAAACATCCAAATTCTGGAGTTAGGGACAAAGGTAATTCAAAGCCATGTCCATCTGGTAGTAAGTGTTGGATTTTTAGGCAGTCTTTGAAGATAGTCTTTGATAGAAAAGTTAAATCATTTGCACTGCCCTGGTAAAATGGACAAGTATAATGTTTTACTATATATAATTATTTAGGATTTATAATATATAATTGTTGTGATGAGAAATTCTGTAACTTATGTATCCCCTAATAGTTTCATAATTAGTAACTTTACACATCCGCAGTTTTCCCCATGAACACTGCCACCTGTACTTTTTAGCTCACTGGAGTGAGAAACAGAAATATTTGATTTGCGGATGAGCTCATAAAGAACAAGAGATGTGTTTTGTAAGAGCAGGCTTGTCATACTTAAGTCTTAATTAGGTGCCATTTAGAATGAGGGCCCAGGATCCAGCAGGTAAGAGTGATGCTGTATAAGCGTCCCGGACATGCTTTGGACTGTCTTTCATGGTCTTTATTTTTCAGGTGAAGAGATGAATGACGCTGTGACACCAACTATTTGTGCCCTCTGCTCTGGAGCCTGGTGATGGGATGAGGTAGGACATTGGTCTTTTTAAAATTCTGTTGTAGCATGACAACTAATGATGCTGGATTTGGTAAATAAAAATATAGGATGCTCAGTTAAATTTAAATTTCAGGTAAACAACAGATACTTTAGTAATAGAAGAGTGATCCAGGAAATATTCAGTATTTACTTAATCCACTAAGTGATCAGTTCATTGCTTTCCTGAAGAGTATCTGGATTTCTCATATTTTATCTGGTAGCTTTACCATCAGTTTTGGCAAGAAATTCTGTTTCTTAGACAGTATGCTTCCATGGCTTTGGAGGAGGAATGTGCAACTAGCTTTTCTGTATGGGACTGTCCGCTTGTGTCATCCTAAAACAGACTAGTAGCAAAAAAAAAATTGTCATTTCATTCTGCAAGCATTTTATTGTTTGCTATGCCATAACGAAAGATTTGACAGGAACGTAATCTGGAATCTATAATCCAAATCATTGCATTTAATTGTGACCAGTAATCATACTAATGAAGGATTCATTTTGCTGCCAGTATTGTGCTAATATAGTTTTTGCTGAGTTCAGGTTTAAAAAAATATAAACTTGACTGTCATATTCATGGCCAGACAGTGCCTAGGATAGGTTTGTTTTCATCACAGCAAGAAGGACACACAACCTGGATTTGTGGGATACCTGCTGTGCAAGAATTAGCTTAGAGCTTTCATCACTTGCTTTAATCCGTGTTCAGCTCCCATTTGGTTTCACAGATTTGAGAGAAACTACAGATACTTAGGGAAATAAAATGACTCATCTAAAGTCACTCATTTAGAAAGGGGCTGTGCTAGGATTTGTACCTGGATTTGTTTTAACTCCATAGAGCATGTTGCTCATATTTTATAAAACTACATCCAAGCCTGTGTTCTCTAAAGACGGTGACTAAATGCGAAGCTGTTGATTGTTTGCATGGCAGGCTATTTTCTGCTCTGTTTTCATCTACATTTTCCCATTGCAATATTCCTTTATATATCTATTGTGTATATATGTCACCTACCACAGTACAGACCTAAAGTATACTCACAATAAGGGTTTACTGTATTATTGTTAATAATGCTTTATAATGCACTTTCTCCTTGAGTGGTTTAGGAGATACTGGTTCTTTGTTTTTAAGTCAGGATGGGTGTTTGGTACTGTACTTAGGACACAGGATGTACCAAGGAGTGTCTGCATTTGGGTACCTGCTCCACAGCTACCAATGGATGTGCTTCCAGTGAGACGGCAAACAGTGACTTGGATGCTCAGAGCCTTTCCATCCATATGGGGGACCTGGATGCAGTTCTGGGCTCCTGGCTTTTTGTGACCCTGTCCCACTCTTAGGGGCATTTAGGGACTGAGCTAGAAGGTAGAAAAAGCGCTTCTCTCAAGCTCTCTCGTGTGCAGGCATGCACATGTTCTCGCTCTTTCTGCGTCACTGAATTTCAAACTAAATCCAACATTTGCAAAATGTTGTTTTCAAATATGATATGGAATACCCTTTACTTTCATTGCATAGTGGTCTGAATTTCTGAGTCAATGGGATTTTGAAATTCTGAACAAGGATTATTGCTGATCTCAGTACAGTTTTTGTATTATAAAGTGATTATAACCATGAGGTGAATAATTTTTCCATTTAACAGATGAATAAATGGGCCTTCTAAGTAGTGAACTAATTGAGCCATGTTTTCAGAGTTTGTGAGAAGTTGAACAGAGAGTTGATCTATGGCATAAAAACCTCACCTTTCGTATCACTAGGTGTTAGGAATAAAGTGAGCAAGTAACAAGGCTGGAGTAATCCTGTTGGGAATGCCAGGCTCTGTGTTACATCAGCAGACTGACTGTGGTCCAAGGAAGTACGTTCTATCAAATCATTCAAAGGACTCTTATCAAATTTGCATTCTCCTTGTTTTCGGACCCATCATTCCAAATAGCTATAAGTTAAAACCCACAATCTTTTACCAACAATCCATTACCAACAATGGCAACAAACAAGACAAAACAAAAACAACAGCAACAAAAATACACTACCTTCTGTCTTCTCTGTGTGATTAAGCAGATATGATAAAATACATGCTCAGCTTTAACTAAAAAGAATCTAGCAATACTTCTTCTTGTATCTATGCTCCTGTCACTTTACCTGTGTAACCTCAGTTAATGAACCTGTAAAAGCACAAGTGATAAAACTAAGTGTTCACTTAATTGGATTTCTGTGAGAATTTAGACGTTTGTAACTGTTAACACTTAGAATTAATATTTACTGGGTACTTATTATCGACCAGGTACTATTTTGCCTTGTTTCTTCTATTTAATTTTCATGATACCTTTCTAAGAAAGTTAATTGTTAATGTGTTCTTTTACATGTGAGGGCTAAACAAGTTAAATAGCATGCCTGAAGTCATGTTTCTGGTTAGAGGTGCAAGCAGGCATAGGAGTCTTATTCTACAATACGTATTTTTCACAACTGAAAATTATTTGTTACAATCATGAAAAAGTAACATGGACTCCAGCCCTCAAGGAACTAGCAACTTAGTAGTGTCACTGTATCATAGGAATGCATATTTATGTGTGCATTCCAAACTTCATATAAAGTCTTCATACATTCACATAGGATTGAGTCAATAGCTGAAATAAATTTTAAGAAAAATCTTAGTGGCAGTCCTTGATCTGTTCTTTCTGTGGTGTCCAAAGGCTTCCATGTTCTGGATTATTGTCAACTTCTTCCCTTCACTGCTGTCTGCTACCCAGTCCACGCACTGTGATCAGGAGCACTTACCTGCATGGCAGGTCAGGATTAAGGCACACATTGCCAGGACAAGTGTCAGCCGAAGTACTGAGACAGCCATTCTTGGATCACTGGGTATTGGCGCAGATAAATTGCTCAGCTGCCCCTGAAGCTTTGCTCCATTTATAAGCATATACAGATGACCTCATCTACTGTGGCATGTAGGTTGTTGCACAAGATGTCAGCATACCTCGCTCTTGGATCTCTACTAACGAGCCCTTTCTGATCGTTCCAACCAAGTTTTTTTTTTTTTATATATATTGGAAAAGAAAAAAATTCTCTTGGTTTTCAAGTGTGTTCTCCTTTAGAAATGGCATTGGAATAATACTTTTACAAGTAGCTCCATTACCAACATGGGCAATTAGATGGTATCAGACAGAGTTACTCTTTTGTGCCACGAACAGCCATAAATCAGGTTGGCAAGGTGTGCCCGCTCTCATCTCTGTACCCTTGGCTGCTTTCCTCGTGCTCTGAGATAAGTACTTGACTCCTCATGGGCATGTCCTTTCACATACTCTTGCCTTTTATCAAACTTCATGTTCCTGGACTAGCCCTTCCATTATTTCCACTGGGAGCATTCTGACTTCTATCAGTCTCGTGTAGAAATAACCCATATCCTAGGTAGTTTGTTGGTTCATCATGTACCCCATAGGATCCTTGACCCAACTGACCTACTTAATTAAACAATTGTCAGGGGTCCTACAGGGCTCAAGATGAACCAACAAGCTATCTGGAATAGGGCAGAATGGTTACCGCTAAAGTTACACAGAGAAGGTTTTTTTTCTACCATAGATTTGCTTTCTAATAATTTTAAAGTGCACAATGCATTTTTATTATCTGTAGTATCATGTTACACAAGTATTATCTTGAGGTTATTTCTCTTGTCTAGGTGAAATTTTCTTTCATGTAACTAAAATCTTTCCCATCACCAACAAGTTTCTAGAAACCACCGATCTCTGTAGAGATTTCTATTAGATTTAGATTGCACATGTAATTGAGATAGTTTTCTTGTGTGTCCTCTGGATTCATCCAGGTTGTCACAAATGACAACTTCTTAAGGATGAAAGGTATAACATATATGGAAACATTCTCTTTATCTGTTGATGGTTATGTTGGCCAATTCCTAGTTTGGACATCTCTTAAGGGTACAATGTTTGATTAGTTTTTGAGTCTGTAAGGAGCCTACTACTTGGCGCTGCTCTCAGCCTTACTTTCTTAGGAAATTTATTTTTATTCTTGCACAACAAATAACGTGATTTTTTTGATGAGTCTGATGGGTGCTTATTTTAAATATTTGTGCCGATAGGGTGTGAGCTTCTTGAGGATAAGATTATGTTTTTCAGAGCTGAAAATATATTACATATGTGGTGGCATGTAGCAAACTTAAAGTAAGAAAGAAGGAGAACAGTAAAGAAAGGATGAAAGGAAAGAGAACAGTCATTTGGGATTTTGAGAGTTGAGTCTAGCTTCTGTCTCCCATTGAAGTGGTCCCTAAACCTTTTACATAGTCTCCCTTGAAGTCTGTGTTTCCACCTGAAAAGGCCATGAAACATAGTTAATTGGATTAAACTCATTTATACTTCATGAAATGGAATGCTGGGTTAGTGATACTGCCATGTACCTTGGGGTATAAATGACTACTTTTGGTTGCAAATAAGAGGATCAAATTTGAAGTCTAGATGGCACTGGATATTGTAGAGTGCTCTAAATTCCACCCATTTGAATGAGGACATTGTAGTAAGGTTAGTCAACTGGTAGCCTGACTAAGATGTAACACCTTGCACCAGAGGACCATATTATAACAACAAAACTGAGGCGTGATAAGAAGGCTTGTAGTCTAGTGTCTCAGGAAGAGTTTTCTTTGTCCCCAATTAGGATTCATCACAAGGTACCAAACTATTGCTAGAAAGGAAACCGGTAGAAATCTGTTTGCACCCAGTGTGGAATTTCTTTACAAGGCCTGTTCAGTATTCCCAATAAGATTGTCCCTGTCTCTGCTATACAAAATGTTGTAATCTAGTGGTGGTCATCCACATTAGAAAACTTCAGAGTTAGATTTCTGCCTTTAGAGCCTTTCTTTATGACCCAGCACTCTGGTTCTCCAAGGAGCTAGCTGAGAAGTCACATCTGTGTACCTTCTTTTATCAATGGCATGGATTCCAATATGTAGCTATGTTTGCCTGGGAGAAGTTAATAGCTGATGATATGCTGTAAGGTAGCAGACTTTTTAAATGTACCACAGCAGCTCTGTATGGCCAAGTGGAGGCACTAAATTTGATCTTAAGATAGAACCATATTGGCTTCTTAGAGGTGTCAACTAGATGGTGTGTGCAAACAGAACCTAAATAAGTTTCATTTGAACTTTATTGATTTTTTTTTATGTGGTCCCGATTAAATGCCTTGAAGGCCCTGGCCCTTCATTTCTCTGCTTGCTGTTTTTTTTTTTTTTTTTTTTTAATTTAATTCCCTTTGCTCTGTTAATTTGTTCCTCCTGGTTTTACGTCTCAGCTAGAATGTCTCTTTTTGGGTGAAAACTTCTTTAACCTTCTAATTGAGCTGAATAATCTTTTATATTCTATATTCTTTCTAACACTTGCATATTTTTCAATCATGGGGTGGAGGAGAGAGCGAGAGGAAGAGAGGAAGAAAGAAAGAAAGAAAGAAAGGAGGAGGAGGATAAGAGAGGAGAGGAATGGAGATCTTCTATCATCTGCTGGCTCATTCCTCCAATACCTGCAACGTCATTGACAAGGCTAAGCCAAAGGTGGGAACTATGAACCCAACACATTCTTCCTTGTGGGTGGCCAGTGCCCAGTTACTTGATCCATTATCAGCACCTCCTAGTGTCTAAGTTAGTGGGAAATGGGAGTCAGGACATGAGCTGGAAGTTGAATCTAAATATTCTAGTGTGGGATGCAGGCATCTTAACTGCTAAACAAAATACTTGCTCCTATCATATAAGTATTTTTGGTTGATTATTTAATGCTTCTTTTCCAAGGAGGTATTAAAATCAGGAGGTAAGGATTCTGAACTATTCTGTTGACTAGTTGAACTCCCATTTATAGGATGGTGGATTGTGAGCAGAAGATTCCCAAAAGGCATGAACTGAATAAATGAATACAGTTGTAAAGCGCAGCCTGGAGTTCTCGAATGGTTTAGAAGTTACGATCCTTGTGATGCTAGCAAAAGCTTGCTTACATGCTGAAGCTCCTTGTCCTCACCTGTGAAACTGGGACATAATATAACTCTCTGCATATTTATCTGCCATGGGTTAAGAATCTCAGATCTAACAGATAAAATGCCTGGTGGACTGTAAGTAGTATTTATTGTGTGTCTTATTAGTAACAGCTAAGGAAATGAAGTGCATCCTCTACTGATCTAAACAAAGGAGTTTGATCTTACATAGAAGAGAAATAGAGATAATGAAAGAGGGTCTTATCCAGGCAAGGAAAATAAGATAACATCCTTCAAGTAGAACACTGTTGCTGCTTGGTAGAAAGGTGTAGAAATAAAAGGTATAAGGAGTGCTTTAATGCTTATGGAGATTTCTGTACTTAATGGAAAGTTACCATTTTTTTTTCAGGAAAAGAAGGAAGTATAGTTTGGAATGGTGGTCACTTTGGGGAGATTTCAGTGAGTCCTTTAGTAGTTAAATGCACAAGCTTTCAGGTCTTGTAGAATTCCATTTGAGTTTTGTGCTTGCCTCTAACAAGTTGTGTGAATCTGTGACTTAAAATATTTCCTGATTACTCTGTACCTTGAATCCAGTGTCTGTAAAGGGGGACATAATGATATCTTTCAAATTTGTTAGAAATGTTGAATGAGGAAATATATGCAATCAACATGGTGCCTTGAGCACATTAAGGAAGAAATAAAGGATTGTTCTAAACCTATTCTGTTCTATTCTATTCTATGCTATGCTATGCTATGCTATCCTATCCTATCCTATCCACTTTGTTGTCCCTGAGAAGGGAGTTAGTCATTCAAGCAATTTTAGAACTATTAATGATAGGTTGCCTACTCTGACCTGGTACCAAATTAAATATTAGCAAAGCTATTGGAAGATTACCACTATCATCCCCATTTTGTATAAGGAAATTCAAAGTTGGAGAGAAGTTATTTGTTCATAGGCATAAATCATCAATGAGGCAGAGTGAGAACATGTGAACAGGTTGCATTTGTGCTCTTATGTATTATGTTGTATTGGTGTATTCTGGGCAGTTATTACTGGTTTAAAGCCTGGGCCAAGCAAGGAACACTGCAGTCACCAAGCCTGTTTGTCCACAGATTCATCCCTGTGTGTCCTCTTTTATATCATTGGCTTCTATGTGAAGTTCTGGTCCACCACATTCATCTGTGCTTTAGCTCACTGGAGCCTGTCAAACAAGCATGCAGGCAACACAGTAACTTCTTGCTCCTTGGAAGACAATGAATTAGAGTTAGTGATACAGTGTAAAGTGTGTGGTATCTAATTACCTCTTAAGTAAGTAATGTGTAGTTCTTAAATATAAGCAAATACTTCACAAGACATGTTTAAAGGTCAGTTTTTTAAGTAAAAATATAACTGTGCTTTGTTTGCTGAATCTGGAAACCTTACCTGGAGAAGTCTTCGTAACTATTTCCTTACATAAAATCTAGAATCAGATAGTGGAATATGGGACTGGGCATGAGTCATATCACATCTGGGATATGCTTTTCTCATGTAGACTGCATAAGGAAATCACGAAGTCCTCTCTTTCCATTTTAGGTTTTAGAACAGCCCTGGAAAGGATGCATAGAACTTCAGATAGAGTTGATATTCCCATGTTGTCCACATGCTAAGGAGTGGCAGTATCTTTTGCCACTCTAATCACCTTTCTACATGTAGCATATAACATAGTCAATCTTCATGTCACAGATTCATTTATTAATTGCTTACTCACTGAACCTTTGGGCTTCTACTATTTGCTAAGAATTTTACTAGACACTGGAAACAAGAAAATACAAAAGCACCGATATCTATCTCAGCTTTGCTGAAAAGGCAAACATGTAAGCAAATAAGCGCAATGCAAATATGAGAAA